GTTTTCTGAAAATCTAGTTTTACGCGTTTTCTGAAAATCTAGTTTTACGCATTTTCTAGAAATCTAGTTTTGCCAACCAAAGAGCAAGCCACTCGTTTATTGGAGGACAAGTCGTTAACTCGGTGTACCTTTCCTGCGCACCTGTCCTGTGGCAGGTGCCGTGTCGGTGGCTGCGTGGAGTCGCAATGTGGGCCCTGGCTTGGGGATGTCGCACCCAGTGCGTGGCGTTTGGAGAGACGGCTGGCCGCACACGCCCCAGAGCCGCCAGGGCTGCGCTGAGGGGGTGGAGCTGGGGCTGTGTGGTCAGCAGGCTGTTACAGAGCGACAGAATATTCTGGAAGGAGGCGCAGCATGAGGTACACAAAGGACACGTGTGGTGCCGGCGCCACTGGAGCAAAACGTCAGTTCTGGTGTTTTGGCACTTACTTTGAAAAACCACAGGATCTAGGAATTAGTTCTGGTATTTCGTTTTTTTAAGTGTTAAGAATTTTTTAAAAATCAGTAAGACTGAATATCTGGTGTGTTTCACATAGGAAAACAGTTTTAAGTATCCGGTAAAAAGAGTAGATTTAGAAAATAAGTGTAAAATGTCCATTGTCATTTTCATACAAGTGAAAAGTTCTCATATAAGAAGATAAAAGCATTACTCAAAAATATATACTAAAAGATACATAAAAATGGAAATCTATTAGATCTTTTTTAAAGTATAGCCTTTAAAATAAGTGGCTTCCATGATTTCATTTAGTCATGAATATATGTTTGTGCAAGATTTTCTTTAGAAGGGTTTTTTTTTTTGGTGCCACAATAATTGGGAGAAAAATAAGGAAAACAAGTATAAGCTAGTTCCAAATATTTTTCTTTGGTTTAGTAATTTTTAAATAATTTCTTATTTGATAATTTAGAGGTGTTTTTTAATTTGATTATGAATCTGCAGTCTATCAATAGCAACTTTTTTGTTTCAAAGAAAGCATTTCCGATTTTTCTTCATCCCCGATTTTATCATGTATATAGGGATTCTGATGCAGTTACCCATATCAAAATAAATGCCGTTATATCATATTCCGTTTGTTTAGAAGGTATTTGCAGTTTTAACTTATTCTTGTAATAGAAGTGTTAAAATACCACAGTGTACTGTTTAAGTTGTCCTTTCACATAAGTATTTTTAAGACATAGTTCAGATTTTAGATTTTTTTTTTAAATACTGAGATGATGATATCAGACCGACCTAAAATATTGGTATATAGATCATTTAAAATACCGCCGAGTACCACCAGCGACTAAAATTTTAATCGCTAACGAAACTGTAGGAAAAGCTTGAGTAAATAAGATGTGTGTACAGGCTAGTGAGCGGGCCAGGTAATAAAGACCCTTGACCACTGGGCCAAGGACTTTCAGAGGTGGTCTGAAAAATTAGGAGGAATCACTAAACGATTTTAAGACATCAGATTTTCTTTACAGAGAGAACATTCCAGTTGTAGATTGGAGGATGTTTTAAGAAGGTCAGATAAATGAAGAGTTATAATCTCAGCGAGAAAGGACAGCCGATCGGCTGGACCTGGCAATGAAGTGGGACTGGTGGGGAGCGGTGGGTACAGAGGTTAGTGGCTCTGAAAGCACGGTCCCCAGGTGAGCAGCAAAGTTCTCCGTCCCCCACCCACCCCCACCACCATTTACTGGACCTGAAACTGAGACCGAGACCCAGCGGCTGGCATTTCACAAGCCTGCAGGTGATTCCGATGCACACGAGATTTTGAGAACTCCTGCTCTCAGGATAAAGAGGCAGAATCAGTAAGACTGAGACAGCTTGGATGGGGATGGGGAGTCAGTGATAGGACTCGGTAGGACCTCCGATTTTCTGGCTCGTTTGCAGGGTAGATGAGGGTACCCTTCACTGAGACGGAAAACGAGAGATATAGGTTTCTGTGACAACAATGGCGAATTTTGTTTTTGACGTGTCGAGTGCGGGGTGCTTCTGAGAAATCCAAGTAGATCTGTCCAGCAGGCTATTGGGGAAACAGATCTATATTGCAGCAGATTGCCTTGGGCTAGAAATAGAGGTCTCAGGGTTTTCAGTATGTAAACGGTAGGTTTCTGGTCTCGATGAGCTGACTCCAGTGCAACATCAAGAATGAAAAGAGCAGTGGTCTAAGAAGCAAGCCTGAGGAACACCAGGCTTGGGATAAAAAGGGAAGAGGGTTTTGTGAAGAAGGCGACAGCCGATGCCACAAGGTAGAGCTGCTGTCAAATTTGAGAGAGGAAGGAGTTTAAGCAAGTGCGGTCTTCGGCACCCATGCTGCAGAGACACCAAGTAGAACAGACGAGGACAGGTGTTCTCTGACGCTCTGAGAGTCAGCGGCAGCACTCACTCCCACGGTCAGTTTCAGGGAGGCTGGAAGCCGGATCGCAGGGCACTAAAATTGATGGCACCAGGTTCTTCTAGAAGTAGGATGTGAAGGTGCAGCAAAATAACAGGACTTTTGTTTAAGAGCGAGTGGGGGGCTTCTGGCAGTCCGATGGGCTCAACGTGTCTTTACTTTGGTTGTTTCCTGAGACCATACTAAAATGACAATAAAAAGATTTTTTTTTTAAGGCATAAAACTATAAGGGCAAAGAAAACGGAAAGGAGATGACAGTCACAAAACTGTTGGAAGTTGGAACGCAGATAAATGAGCAGTAACTGACTTAGCTCATCCGAGAAATCTGAATCTTAGATTCAGAGAACTCAAAAGGCGTAGGAATTGATGGCACCAGGTTCTTCTAGAAGTAGGATGCGAAGGTGCAGCAAAATAACAGGACGTTTGTTTAAGAGCCAGTTAAATCCTCACGCTTTTTTTTTTTTTCTTCCTATTCTGCGTAACTGGATGACTTATCCTCAACGCTAGCAGAAGACCGGAGGTTTAATCTCTCCGAGGAACGCCTCATGCCAGAGACGGGACACAGCCGAGGGCAGGGGCCGTGGTCTTAGCCGGCTTAGGCTGCTGTACGAGAACACCACAGGCTTGGTGGCTTATAGCAAACACGTATTTCTCACGGTTCTGGAGGCGGAAGTCTCCATTCAAGGCGCTGGTAGATTTGGTGTCTGGCGAGGGCTTGCTTCCTGGTTCTCGGTGCATCCTCACAGGGTGGGAGGGGCAGGGAGCTCTGTGGGGTCTCTTTTATAAGGACCGTGGCCCATCATGTCGCTGCACTCTCGTGACCGTGTCACCTCCGAGAGGCCCCACCTAACACCGTCCCTTCGGGGGTTAGGATTTTAAAACATGCACATACACATACGTGCACGCATGCACGCATACAGACTCTAGGAGGGAGACTGACGTTTGCTTCTCTAGGGAATATAACCAGCTTTAGCAGGAACGGTGACAGTGACCGCAGAGGAATTGGCCGTCCACATTCCCCGGGGATGGAGCCCACAGCCTTCAGACCCCACTCCGGCGCTTAGAGTTTCAAACATGGTGTCAGCGCTTCACTCTGAGATAGGAACAGTAAACCAAGGATCACCGAACATCTTCATAGAACCTTCGAGATGAAGGCGGGATGTCAAAACAAGCAGAGAAGCATCAACTTGAAACAGTCTATGCAAGAAGAAGGAAACATCTAAATGTCTTAAATGTGTGTTTAGGTAATAATGTGGTGCCTCCATGAAAAACAGCAATATTTGGAGGCAAAGTTGAAAGAAAGGAAAACCTAATAGAATTGTGGGAAGAATAAGTCGAGAAAATATCCAGAAAGTAGAGTAAAACCAGATTGAAAAAAGGATACAAGTAGAATCAATTTAAGAAGTTGAGCATCTGAATAATAAAGGAGTTTCAGGATGAGAAAACAGGCTGGGAAATTTTTTTAATCATGAAAATTACCCAGAACTGAATACATGAGTTTCCAGATCCCAATGCTCAGCAAAATGGATGAAAACAGACGTACATGAGTATACTGTGGTGACATTTTAGCAACGCTAGAGACGCAGGTCCTGCAAGCTCCCAGAGAGACAAAGTCACCTGCAAAGGGCCAGGAGCCAAA